CGTGTTTAAAGTAAATACCGACCTCATGAAAATGTCTAAAGGATTTTGCGACTTCGGTTCAACAACGATCGTAGATTGAAGCATGCTTACAAAGAGTGAATTTCAACAACTTTTATATTAAACCAAACGAATGATATAGTCTTGAATATTTCTCAGAAAGACGTGTAAAGTTTTAATATATCGATATCAATAATATTTTTTCATCTTTACCCCTTTTTGTGAAAGTTGTGTACAATGTGGTTTTGAAAATATGTCGTTGGTCCTATCACGCCTTTTATTTAAGTTATTTGGATAAGTGAAGTAAATAATTTTTTTCAAATCGGAAACTTTATATAAAACTTTTATTTGTTTAAAATGAGACCATAATTAAGAGATGTACTTTAAAATTACTTAGTATATAGCCGCAAACTTGTACTTCAAGTTTTGGAACAAGACATGGCAGGTAAAACTCAATTTAGATGTCCCGTCAAAAATTTCTATACAAAAATTACAAAAGTGTTTTTATAGCTATTTAGTTCAGCGCTGTAAAGTGTTCATTTGTATAAATCAAAGAGAGTGGTAGTCACCTATATGTAATTACTTGTTGACACCACTGGGTGTCTCAATAGGCTATTTAACATAAGGCGTTAATTTAGGCTTTACGCTTACGTAGGATTGCACGTAGAGCGACTTATGACATGTAAGGGATGCTTGTCATGTGCAATAAATCATTTCTTAATACCTGGCCAGAAACGTAACTTTTTATTGGCTAAAGTATCGTAAATCTTAATTTGATTGGTCAATCGAACTTCTCACCATTTTGGGGTACACTAGAGTTTCCAAGGTTGAGCTGAACGCAGCACTCCAGAATAAAGACTATTGGACACTTTAAAGAAATCTCTTTTATACTTCAGATGAGTCAAGTTTACCTTTAATATTTTTCTAGCAAATACATATTATTATTGAGTCTCAAGTTAAATTAGATTTTATTCTTCTTATTCAATATGTGTATGTAAATGATTATTGATTTTTGATATATCATAATGATAATTATTTTTTAGTTATTGTAATGTTTTTTTATTATCAGAAAAGTCAAATTAAAATTTTACTTTTAATTTGATAATTCTAGTTCATTTTTCATAATTTCTAACATTTCTATCTCACTCTTTTCGGAAATTCTAATCCTGTCCGGAATTGGTTTTAATTTTATATGTGCTTGTTGTACTTCCGGATGAATTGCCGCGACTGTTTAGAAAAATACAAACCTGTTATTTTTACAAGAAGTTGACTAAAGAAATACTCGTGACGAATTATAAGGGAGTATATGATTCGAAATAATGTTTTAATTACTGTTAATCGTTGCTATACAATTGTTCCTCCGAGAACGAGCCACGTGTAAATTTTGCATTATAATAATAATAATAAAGTTTTATTTATTGTCGGTATTTAAAACAGTACAAACATTAGCTCTTTTGAGCTATTTCATCCGACACAATTGTGAAGGGTTACGTACTAAACAATCCTAAATATATGTTTGATATCACCTAAGCGTTATGCATTTATGTATGTACATTTATAAGCATTTTAGGTATAATCAAAACTGTAATTTAAATTGTAAATTGTATTATGTGTCGGTCACTCTGAATGCAGCACTCCAGAATAAAGACTATTGGAAACTTTAAAGAAATCTCTTTTATACTACAGTCTCGTCAGAATTCCCGTACAAACGTCATCACAGTCCCATAGACTACAAATCACAGCATAAAGTGAGCTCCCTCAGTGAGAACTGACTAAAATAATCGTTATTTCATCTTGATCTTATATATAAGTATATTTCTAAATCAGGGGGTTCTCAGGATTTTACCTTTCATCTGTGAACAGTCCCGTATAACAATGACAAGCCTAAATTCTAAAATTCCCACTAAAGACTGGCAAAGCAAGTATAAATAAAATGGGCGACAGGTAATTGTTGGTCTAGAGGTTTATATACTACATAAAAACTCGATATCTATAAACTGGCACCTGTATCTTTTTTACAATCGTTCGTTTATCGGCCTCGTGCTCTCTACTTTAAGCTTGATATAGCAAACTATATGCAAATGGCGGGGGGGGGGGTTGGTTCTTGTTCTAGAGGTGAGCCTCTTTGTTTGGTTGGTTACGGAATACATTTAAGTACCATATATGGCTAGTGTCTTTTTATTACCGAAGATAGTCAATGACAGCTTTGTTGCTTTTTTTATATTATTCAAATTTTATCGAGAAAGTATTTCAAAGGTTTTAGACACAAAATGAACAATTAAGGGAACATATTCGGGAGATGCAGCTCATAGCATAGATATGATTAAAATGATTGGCAATTTTGTGGAATTCAAAATGTTATGTTTTTTTTTTTATTTTCTGCTCTTAATTATAGTGTTGATTAAAATCTTAAGGTTAGTAATCGAAACTATCACAGTCATGTTAGAGTATTATTTAATATTAGGGACTTATTTCTTCAGGCTAAGGTAAAAAATTTAGTGACCTATGATTGAACATTTATTAAGGATGATGAAGGACAATGTTAACAGATTCGGCACAATTACTTACACGAGAAATAACATTCTGACCACAACGTGAACCATAATACATCATATCTAAAATGATATCAAAATTTTTATATTAGTAAAATCTCTTATTTTGTATTGAGCAAAATATGAATATTCGCTATATCCAAAACCTTATCGTCATTATGTCCAGAGTCTATAGACAGATTACATGTTTACATGGCAGAAATACATGTTGCCATAGGTGAATATGTCAAGTAACCAGTTATAAAATATATCAATATTATATCATTAGATCTTGGATAATGCCTAGCGACGGGCAGAGTCACGGAAACGATTGTAGTACTTTCTTTGATGTCAGACGAAACCAGCAATGTTGGTTCAAGTAGATTTTATTAGCGATCGTATAGATTTCGGGTACACCGGCCAGGGCTATGCCAAGGACAAATCTACACCAGATTATATGTTAGTGGGGAAGATAAGAGCTTGACCAGTTAGATTATTACATGATGATAAAAGTTCATCTCATGTTTACTGATAGATAAGATGGAACAGACATGTGATTTAATATCTTTCTTCCAGGTTAATCATATTAATATGGTCTTATTTCTATATATGACGATAAAACCTAGATAGTAATAGATAAAAGTATTAGACGAAAAACCATCATCATCATCATCATCATCATCATCATCATCATCATCATCATCATCATCATCAAACACATCATCATCATCATCATCATCATCATCAAAATCTTAAAAATCATCATCATCATCATCATCATCATCATCATCATCATCATCAAAATATTAAAAATCATCATCATCATCATCATCATCATCATCATCATCATCATCATCATCATCGTATCATTAAATCTGATATATTTGACATGTCAGACATGTTGGGTCTGGCTACCTTTGCTCATTCAGCTTTTTATGCATCACTCATCCTTGTTGGAAATGGTATAAAAATCTTTTCTATATCTTTATTCTGGGTCGGTCTCCAGATACGCACCCTCTGATAGGTCTCCAGATACGTATCCTCTGATAGGTCTCCAGATACGCACCCTCTGATAGGTCTCCAGATACGTATCCTCTGATAGGTCTCCAGATACGCACCCTCTGATAGGTCTCCAGATACGTATCTTCTGATACGTATCTCAACAGTACACCAATAAACAGATAACACACTTGTGCACTTTCCTTTCATCATACTTCAACAAATGACTAACATTAATTTTTATACAACGATAATAAAGTTGATAAGTTATTGTCGTATCACAGTTACTAAACCTATGGCTGGATATGGTGTCATTTTTGCACATTACAAAAATGTTTTTGTATTTACCGACATATTTTCATTTCCTAGAAGCAGAAAAAATAACCACATTCAAGTTTAGATAATAGATATTTGAGAGTAGACTACGTCTTTGCATATTATAACGAGGATATATTAAAAAATACAGATAGACATTCTCATAAGGATTTCCGGAAGTATTTTTTAAGAGATTTACTCTAGCTTTGTCGTAAGGTAACATACATTATATTTGTTTCCTTTCTAGAGGTGCTTTTTTGTTGTTTAACTGGTTGTGAATTAAAAAGTAGAACGAGAAGAATATCTCGTTTCAATGTCTAGTTTGTAGAAGGTAATACAGAACAGGTCGGATGGCGCAGTGGTAACGCACTCGCCTTTCACCCAGCCTTCCGGGGTTTGATTTCCGGAATGGACGCGAAAAGGTATGGCGTCACCTGTCCGACCACATATGTTTTATATCTTTAAGTAACATTGATAAAAAATAAAAATTGTGTACAAGAGAGCGACGAAATCATTGGCTAGTAAGAGACTGTTAATAAAATAGGGGATAGTTCTCATTTTCATCTTGTAATTTCTTCACTGTTAAATATATGCGGCCATGTAATGAAAAGGAAATGTGAGCTGGATTTTAAATGAGATAATTGTTGTGTGCCCAGTAAGCAAATCGTAGTGTGCTGATTCACCAACGACGTGTCTAGGTTCACTGTCGTAATGGGCGGCTTACCACCAAGAATGTATGTATACACGTTAGGTGCGATGACTTGCCGAGCACACCAAATCACAGTGTTTATTTAGGTCAAGATCAAGGGTCATATATTATCAGTACACAAACCCTCTCGTGATGGAAATTTCCGTTCCCACAGAAGGCGGGGTTTACGGTTCACGTCTCGTGTGCAAAGTGGTGAAAAAAGATTGTCGTCTAGTGATAATTCAACGGGAACCACAAGCGGTGGTTTGGTGATGTTTAAAAAAGGGGAGGTGCTTAGTTGATAAGTGCCACGTGCAAAAATTATGACCAATTAGAATATTTCACGTGGTTCGTGTGCCTATTTGTATACCAGCATGACTATCAGTATATCGCCACAAGGCACAGAACCAGCAGTACAGTATTACACGCATGTTGCTTACACGGGAAAGGGCTCCGAAATACAGCTCGGGATTACACAAATATCAGTTATCCAGGCTAGGAACCAAGGTATGGTAAAAATATATGTATTAAGGAATTCTTTACTCGTAATGTAGACAGGTATTTTCCTTCGATAAATTGCAAATGTACATGGCTCGAAACACACCAAAAGTTATCCAATGTTGTTTTGTCGCCGATGTATTTTGTTACAACTTCATTCCTACAGGGTGAAGTTATTTGTACAAGCGTGCAAATTATATGGACGATTTTTCATTAGCATCGGTAAAGGTTTGGACGATAGCGTGATGATCAATAAGAATGGTAACTTTATTAATCGGTGCGGTTAACTTGAATTTTGAAACAGTTATTGGTGATACCTATATACATTTGTAAATATTCAATGATATTTGTACATCAGCGAAATTTTGCTCTGAAGAAGTTAATTAATATGTAGTAAACATGGTGCCGACTTATCGTTATGATATGCGTCAGCTATTGTTCTAGTACTTTATCGTTATACTTGGGTTGAATTGAGATAATTTATCACAATGTCGTGATGCTGTGAGTTGTATTATTGTACTATGTGTAAATAGATTGTAGTGCGATGTCGTTATAATGGATGAGAATTTTCGTCAACATTATTGTTAAAATCAGAGGGAAATGTAATATTTTAACAATCGGCTCGAAAATTTATTGTTTTAACAGAGTGATCGTTAAAATGAGCCTTAATTGAAACGATTTGTAAGCGATATCTACAGAATGTGCATGAACTATTACTATTTGTTAGCGATATATTTAGAATCAGCATGAACTGGTACGATTTTTAGCGATATATACAGAATCAGCACGAACTGTTACGATTTTTAGCGATATATACAGAATCAGCATGAACTGTTACGATTTTTAGCGATATATACAGAATCAGCACGAACTGTTACGATTTTTAGCGATATATACAGAATCAGCATGAACTGTTACGATTTTTAGCGATATATACAGAATCTGCATGGACTGGTACGATTTTTAGCGATATATACAGCACGAACTGTTACAGAATCAGAAGCATGAACTGGTACGATTTTTAGCGATATATACAGAATCAGCACGAACTGTTACGATTTTTAGCGATATATACAGAATCTGCATGAACTGGTACGATTTTTAGCGATATATACAGAATCAGCATGAACTGTTACGATTTTTAGCGATATATACAGAATCTGCATGGACTGGTACGATTTTTAGCGATATATACAGAATCTGCATGAACTGGTACGATTTTTAGCGATATATACAGAATCAGCACGAACTGTTACGATTTTTAGCGATATATACAGAACTGACTTACGATTTTTAGCGATATATATATACGATTTTTAGCGATATATACAGAATCAGCATGAACTGTTACGATTTTTACCGATATATACAGAATCAGCATGAACTGTTACGATTTTTAGCGATATATATACAGAATCGATTTTTAGCGATATATGAACTGCGATATATACGATTTTTAGCGATATATACAGCATGAACTGGTACGATTTTTAGCGATATATACAGAATCAGCACGAACTGTTACGATTTTTAGCGATATATACAGAATCAGCATGAACTGTTACGATTTTTACCGATATATACAGAATCAGCATGAACTGTTACGATTTTTACCGATATATACAGAATCAGCATGAACTGGTACGATTTTTAGCGATATATACAGAATCAGCATGAACTGTTACGATTTTTAGCGATATATACAGAATCTGCATGAATTGTTACAATTTTTAGCGATATATACAGAATCTGCATGAATATTTGCGATTTGTGAGCGATATATACAGAATCGGCATGAACTGTTTTGTGTGAGCGAAATCTGTATAATCGGCGTGATGTTTTACCGTGATCGGGATGTATGGTGAAGATTTGTCGGCGAAATCTTCAGAATCGGAATGAATGGTGACGATTGGTCAGTGATGTTTTCCTAATCGACACGAACTGTTACAATTTTACAGCGATGTTTTCAAAACCGGCATATTATTTTCCCCAGTGATACCTTTTATGAATCGTTACCTTAAATGGTATCTTCCTAATCAGCATGGTTCTGTTCGTCACCGAGATGTTCATTATCGGCATTAATTGTCACGATTTTCAGCAATTAATCGAGAATCGACATGGATTTTATAGTTTGACCATAAAAAGCTGATATACATAATCATCCGATATTACATCACGTATATAAAATTATCATGATGAGATCGCTCTCTCAGTTAAACAGCGCCATCTGTTGACGATCATCCTAATGACGATGAAACCCTTTGATACCAAGTGCAGGTCTTTGATTTTCTTTTCCACTTTTTTATACGAGACATGTTTGGACTAGTTAGAATATTCGTTCCTGACCTCTAGCCTCAAGTAGTGACGTTGTCTGATACGACCCGTCGGATAATTCTAAAACGACCCGGGCGGTACATATTGCGTTTGTGTGCTAGACTATTAAATCATGTTCTACGCAGGTAGTCCCGGCAGGTGTTCTGGGAAGAAAATATATACACAGTCGTGATAGGCTATGTTTACGGGTAAAGTGACAAATATATTGCCGCTTGGTCAGTCAAACAATGTATGGAAAGGGGAGGAGCTACACCGTCATAACAATGGATTGGGTTCGTGTGCAAAATATGATTGATATTTAAAAATCTCGGCGAGGTACTTTTACATTTATTTAACCATTAGCAGTCCGAGGCGTTGAGCGGTGAAGGGTATAGCATCGACGTGGTTTTGTGTGACATTACAAACATCCAGCCATTTCGATATGGAAAATGTATTAACTTGCCTGTATATAAGGTAATTTGAACTCCGTGTTATGCAGACGTTTTACATACGACCGAATACATTTGAACGTTAGTAATATGCACATTTTCCAACGTTCCAATGACAGTGAATTTAACCTAGTGATACGATAAGAAATGTGTTTCAGTAATACATCACCCAGTATACTAGATGTTTGTTACAACTACTTTTTGTTGATTTTGGGATTTATTTTGTGAAATGTTGTGATTTTATCGGTTTTTTTAAATGCATGTCTACTTAAATTGTATAGAAGACATTTTGGCGTTTTGTTTGCTTTTTTGCGATAATACCGTAACCGTCTTTTTCACCGTGTAGAGATCCTTATTTATTGTGACTCCCCCCCCCCTCCAGCACCCCACCTCTTCCCATCCCACCCCAACCTCCACCCCACCAGTAACTACTATTTGAAGTATTTAGTAGGTTATATACTATCATGACCAACCGATATATATATATCATATTTATAATTGACCAGATTCTTCGCATTGGTCAATTCTGTTTAATTCAATCCAGATATCTATTCAATCAATAATTCTATTCAGTTTTATTCAGTGCCTCGGCTCAAAAGTTAATCACTCTAACCGAGCGTGACAATCACGTGGACGAGTGAATCGGAGGAAAAACGAAAAAAAATCCCCTTCCTAGAACATGTGTTTTTAACGTTATAGTAGTCCTTTTTGTTGAGAACCTGGTTTTGCTTTTTTTTCAGATTGGCCTGATCTCTGACGAATCCCTCCGATGATATATCCCAGGAACAAGGTCTAAACTGAACACAGGTAACTAACTACTACAACAACAAACCGGCCACAAATGGGTCGATTAGATGCGCTGGAAAATTTTGAAATAAAACTGTTATATAATTTATTTCATGATTTTATAAGATCATTGTTAGATCGTTGTCATGTGTCGCGATATGTCTTATCGTTTGTCATCTAGTACACCGAAATACTGAAAAATCTTTTTTTTTTGTTGGGTTCAATTTTCGTGGTTTAAAAATTAAGAAATAATATTTTTCATGGCATTTGATTTAATGGGGTGAATATAGCTCAATTCAACTATTTATACTAATTTTTACAGTTCTTGGGCGTATGAATTCGTTGAGTACCCGCGAAATAAAGGAATAAAAAATCTGGTGAAAATAAATGATTTCACTTCTCATGCTGGTCAACAGAAGTTGAAGTATCTCGATACTACAGGAGTGAAAAGATCTTTCCTATAACAATTGAAGTTTAACTATAAATGTTTTACGAGAACACTAGACGTGAAAGTCAGTAATAAAGAATGTCGTCTTAAAACTTCAGAAAAACGGGAAATAAATACCACATGAGATTGTCAACGAGAAAAGCTACGACAAGAGAACGCTCAATACGATTGGTGATAGAAAACAAACTAGTTAGGAATACGTGAAAACACTAGCTAGGAACGTAAAGAGAGACTGGAAACTAGGAATGATGAAAGAGGACAGAAACTAGTACTATTAACAATACACTTATTAGAAATGTAAGAACGCCAACTAGGAATGTTTAAAGATAACATTTAATTGAAGTGTTAAGAGAGAACAATAACTAGGAATATAAAGAGAGAATGCTAACTAGGAATGTTTAGAGGAAACATTAGTTAGAACTGTTGAAAAAATCACTCTAGGATTGTTAAGAGAGAGAGAGCAGAAGGAATTTTGAGAGAACACTAGAAATGTTACGAGAGAACGCTAACTAGGAAAGTTAAGAGAGGACACTAAATAGGAAAGTTAAGAGAGAACACAGGGAATGTTTAGTGAGAACATGAATTACATTTGTAGGAAAGTCAGAAGAGAGAGAGAGGAATGGCCAAGTATACCACTTGAGAACGATAACTCTTGAATCAAGAAAATGGTAGTTATTAACGTTACGCAAGAACAAAAACCAGAATTATACGAGCGAAAGCCAAGTAGTATTATTATGGAACATAAACTAGAAATACCGAGAGAGAATGCTTAGAGGACACTCTCTATGAATGTAAAGAGAGAACGCTTAATAGGAATGCTATAAGAGAACACTAACTTGGAAGGTGAAACAAAATTCTAAGAATGTTAGATGAAAACACTAACTAGGAATATTACGACAAAGTAACAAAAGTGTTGCAAAACAATCGCAAAGTATGAGGCCAAAATGTCGATTACTTAAACCATGTTTAGAAAATTTCATGTTTATTGCGGCATCAGCGCTGTCCTCCAGTTGTTGTGGTCGGCAGGTACTACGTATCTATTCAAGCCTTCCACTGTACTCTACTTTCCATCCTTGCTGTTTGTAGGAGATTCGCCGAACCTACCAGAATGCCAGTCGTATTTGGTGCAGAGGTTGGGGATACCGAGGAAGTGGACTGGGAGTGGGACGAACAGCTGATTGATAATAACGGAAAGACCGTGTTTGATCTTGGTTACCAATATATTCCTCCCGATCAGCTCTTCCCGAGTTCAAGGGGCGGACCATATCTTCTGAGTTGCAACAATTGTGCTGCAGTGATGAGTGTAGAGCAACTTATTCAGGTGAAAATGGAATTTTATCCTCAATTGAATGTGAATGATACTTTTAACAATATGGAGAACACATATCGTTCAGAAATAGTGCCAATTTGTTACACGTGTATAAACAATGCCTATAACACATATATCCCACCTGTGCGGCCAGAAAACACAGAAGTGTACGTTGTTACCGATAATGTGCGGCAAGCAAGTGACAAGCGGACGGACTTTTCTGTAAAAGGGGGAGAAGAAACCATGGAAAAGATACAAGATACCGATTCTTTGAAAAAGAACCTCGCTGTTGAAATTGTTGACTCGGGTGAAAATATGGATGATAGCGATATTTTCATGGAGAAAGAAAAGGATGAAAAGATGGAAGACGACTCGGGTGTTGATTGTTTTGTAGAATACACGGCGATGTTCTCGTGCAAAATATGCGATTCTGAGTTCGAAACAGTCGAAGAATTCGGAAAACATACTCGAACTCATGAACGAATTAATGCAGCAGAGAAGTGCCCAATCTGCTCCATCCACTTGTCTAAAGAAAGGTTATATGAACATATAGCGGTGCACGGAGAAACCATATTACGATATCTCGAAGAAATGAAGAGAGGCGAGAAAAAGGAAACTATAAATAAGTTGAAATTGAATAAGTGTTCGATATGCCAATGGGCCTGTCTCGGCCGTTCAAAAATGAAAAAGCATAAACGAAAGCAGCATTACAAGTGTATGTTTTGTGGTTACTATTTTAAAAATAAAAAACAGTGCAAGAAACACGTAAGAAAGGAAGGATGTGGCAGATACAAGCAAGAGGACAGTAAAACACCACAAGTATCCTTTCAAGAAAAGTTCTCATGTGCAACATGTCAGGAAGTTCTGTTTTCGCAAGAAGAACTAGTACGCCATGCAAAAATGCATATTACGTACAAAAAATGTAAGATATGTAATATAAAAGTTCGGAGTGGGGAACCTTTTTTGAGTCATGCACGCCAACACGCGCTTGCATCGAAAGAAAATACAGCCGATTCTTCACCCGTGACTTCCGCGCTGCGAGTCTTAGACGAAAATATCGGTCCGGCCTCCTTGGACGAAAGAGACGATAGTTGCTCATCAGCTGCCATTGAACATTCTTTACAAGAGGTTTACACTTCGGCTACGATAACAACATGGCGCCAACTGTCATTGCAGATGCAACAGATGAACAAAGAGACTTCTGTTGACAGATCTGATTGTACCAACAACGAAGCTAGCAATGCCTCGGACAGAAATGTCAGTGACAGAAACATTGTTGCAAAGGTTACAAATACTGCCAACGTCGATAACATCCCAGTCAAACGACGCGCTTCGATCAACAACGATTCCTCGATTAGCACCAACAAACTACAGATCAACGAAAGCAATAACGCTGTGGACGAGTTGCAATGTCAAACCGAAAAAGTCTGCCACAAAAGCAAGAAATGCTCACCTGAAAAAGAGAACGAGAAGCAGTTGTCTGAAACACAAAAGGAATTCATATTGGAAAAGAAATTCTCATTAAAAAATAATTCAAAAAGAATTTATTTTAAGAGGTCTCCGGATATATTAACAATGCGTGCTAACAAACAATGGGACCATACGGAAATAAACGTTCCAGAAAGAGTGCAGTCATGTACTCCTTAACTAGTTTGCCCAGGACGAACTGGATATATAACAATTCTTCCCAATACCATGAATCTATTAGCATATAAGCTCCAATATATAGGAGAGCATCCTTTGTTGGTGGAGCTCCCTTATCGCTTGAATGGATAAACTGAATCCTACCTACCGTGATATCATGCAAAAGCTACATGAAGAGGATCGCATGAAAGTATACACAGGGGGCTTCAACAAAGACGAAACGAAATGACGAAAAATCAAAAGTATGACGTCACTGAATATTGTTTTTAAAGAAGAGAATGTTACCGTATACAACGGAAATTGGAATGCAGGAAAGAAGGACTTCTCATTTTAAAGGAAATATGAACGTGCAAACGTGAGAGTTTACTCTTCAAAGAAGATGTGAAAGTGACATGTTGTTCAGAGTCGGAGCGAGGTCTGACTGTATCACAAGATAAGCCGCACCGAGAGGACTGATATTGAACTTAACGTACTAGATATCAAGTCATAATTGTTTTGAAGATATAAACTGTAACGGCATAGAGGTCTAGCGTGAAGTGATTAATATCTTGTCACATAGATATAGACCATCTACCCGATATTGACATATATTTTATCGTTTAACGATCTCAAAAGCTAACTTCACTAAGGGAGCAAACATGATGAACCAATACCGTTAATGTACGGACCAGTAAACCTCAAGTAGCTCTGGCATATAATGGTGCCCGGATTTTTATTTTTACGCGTCATCCTCTAACTTGATAATATGGCGTCTATTGTTGTACATTTTCTGGCGGAAATGGACTTGACCATTTGCCTTAATAAGCATTTCATGACTTATTAGAGCAGCAAATTGCATGTTTTCGTACTTGATGCTGGAAGTCTGATGGATACACCACAAAGGAATCAATACCATTAGATTAGGGCAAAGTGGTAGCCCCTGTCTGTATATAGCAGTAGTGGATATTTTTGTTTCTAATGGTGATTTTGATACCTTATTTGTTTGTATCATTTACATTAATTTCTAGGATTTTTGTTACCAAAAACTGTATACACATTTAGTGCGTATTATCATTGATTTTTAAATAGTGCTTTAGTGACGAAGATAGCTTGTTACAGCATGTAATAAATAACAGATAAAAAAGTGTATTTTAGTTGTTTATATCAAGATGTACAATTGTCAACTAGAAAGGATGAAATGTATAAAAGTTTCAACACAGAATGAAATAGACCAAGGCAATAACGCACAGGCAATAACGCACAAGGATGAAATGTACGAAAACGTGAACACCAGGGACGAACAACTTCAACACACAGTATGAGCACAAAAAGGACATGAGCAAAACTGTCAGCAGTCAGGCATGACGTATCACCTCAAAAACATGAGAAACATTAACATTGATTTACATTGAAGTATTCTGAAATCAACTTCTGTAGCACCGTGTTTGGCATCAGACGTAGGCAAAGTTGTCTATTTAAGCCTTTTTGATTCGTCGGAACACAAGGTTTAGCGTAGGTGATCTGTAGGGAGAGCAACGAGCCTGCTGACGTGTTAGTACCGGACTGTTCACTTCCATCACGACTGGCTCCCAGGTGAACATTATCGACGTCTAGATATTTGTGTTTCCAGCTGCCACGTTACAAACCACAGCCTGACTTTTGCCATATCATCTCCGGGGCAACCATCAGCTTAATGATAACTATCACTCTGACCACTGGTCAGTGTAAGTCCAGAAGAAATGTGACCACAGTATAACCCTTGTTAAACGACATCACCTGGAACTAGCCCCATTTAAACATAAATTGCTGATTGTACTACACAGTATAGAAATCAACGCGTTACCAATACACAAGAGGATAGCGAAATTAAAATATCTATTTCTACAGTTACATCCGTCCAAATGGACAATAATAGATATTGCTATGTTACTTATCGATACATTGTATCATAGTTTGATGCTTCATTCGACCAAATCATCTGAATTAAAACCCAAAGTAATTAAAACAAGGGCAAAATGTGAACAAAGGAAAGATGTATATACGCACACTGAGATCATTGAAAATACGAGGAGACTAAAACCGAGCGTTTCGGAAGGGTGGGGAGAGTGGTTGAACATTTTCTACTTAATAAAAGATAAAACAGCTATAAACATTCCTATATCCTTCCCAAATTGCATTCCGCTAAACCCTAGAAATGGTCGATCTTTTGGGGTGTTTAGTCCGCCCCAAACCGGTCCGACCAGCTCCAGATCACAACTGACATCTGTGTGGGAGGCAGTGCCCTTCCCACATCAGCTGCTCAGCCACATCCGACGTCGTTTAAGAGCCTTTCAGAGTGCAAATCCAATCTCCCGTGACTGAGGGGCCTCTTCTACTATTTTATTTATCGATATATGTACTTGAATGGCCACTATTAAAAAGTTTAAGGAGGCAGATGTTAGGGAGGATGTATGCAGATCGTATTGAACAAATTTACGGGTGACGCACAGCTAATCTCCACATAGAAGAGTGTAGTGATAGGACAAGAAAGACCAACAATCGAAGACTGGTAGATGGTGCAGAGGACTAGTAGATGTGGAGAGGGATTCTTGCTGACTGTGATATGCGGACTGGTAGATGTAAGGAGGAAGTCTTGCTGACTGTGATATGCGGACTGGTAGATGTAAGGAGGAAGTCTTGCTGACTGATATGAGGACTGGTAGATGTAGAGAGGAGGTCTTGCTGACTGATATGTAACACCGCACACAGGTTAATTATAAAAACAAGACCCAGGTTCTGATGTAAGATGATGATCCTTTTATTGAGTCTACAACTACACACAGATCTTTAGACGTACACAACAAGAGTCTGAGCGCACCCTTCCTCAAGCCAAAAGCTACCAGTGTCCGAGAGTCGTGGCCGTTAACTGCTCACACCTTGCTGCTTCCTCCTGACCACTGGTCAGTGTCCAAAGTTCTCTCCGGACATTAAGTTTCTCTACAAGAATAATAAAAGTACTTTGGGCGAACATTAAACACGAAAACAAGCATACTTGGGGAATACACAGCACTGGACACAAAATACACATACTTTGGCCGGACATTAAACACGAAAATAACCATACTTGGGGAATACACAGCGTCGGACACACGATTTGTAAACATAGAGGATTAATCAAGTTTCTCTACAAGAATAATAAATGTACTTTGGGCGGACATTAGACACGAAAACAAACATACTTGGGGAATACACAACGCTGGACACACGATACACATATTTCCACAATTCAACTACTTGAAGTATAAGGCTAAATATCTATACCTATTTATAATTTAAGTACGTGCTCTTTTATGCAATGGTTGGTTACAGATATGAGGAATGTAAGATGTAGGGAGGAAGTATTGCTGAATGTGATATGAGGACTAAAAGATGCAGAGATCATGCCTTGCTAACTGTGATACGACGACTGTTAGATGTAGAGAGGACGTCTTGCTGACTGTGAAAAGGTGTTGGTAGATGCTGTAGAGACAAAGGTGTTTTTACTGTAACGCGAAGACTAGTAGAATCTTCTAGAAACAACCTTGCTGAGTGTGATACAAAGATTGCAAGACTTTGTAGAGAGAGAGTCTTGCTGACTGTGACAGGGAAATTGATTTAGAGAGATAAAGGTTATACAAATACTGGTATATTCTATGAAATCTATGACATCTACGGAAAAAATATATTGGTAAACGTACCAATAAATGTGTTATATTCAATCACGAGCACACGCAATGTTCTTCCTTAATTCCGCATTTTGCTGTCGAATTCTGGATATTCCAACTCTCTGTTCTCTCGTGCAGGATCGGCTCTATTGAATGCACGTGCTGTTGTTAAGTTTTCAAATATCCTCTTACAGGATGGAATGCATTACTCAAAGAGAGGTTCTTCTGAACTTTGGTCGATCATAGGATGATAATCCGAACTGTTCAAAAGGCACATTATTTTAATATCACCTTTCAATGCAAATTTAGAATTGAAACAGGAATACCAACTGATGAATAAAACTGTTGTTTCAACCATCTAGGACTGGTGATTGATGTTAATGGCAGTGAGGCTGGAACTGAGAAGGCGACTTGTGGAAATCGAAATTGAAAGTTATTGAAACAGTGAATTGTCTAAATGTATGAACAAAATCCTTGTCACTTCTCTGTTTCATTATCGGAAGACTGAAGAGGCAGCTACTTATTGTTATTGTTTACGCCGTCGTCCTCATATTTATGCAAGACGGTTAAGCATGATCTCTATCGTCAATTTCACGTAACGCGAAAGATTGGCAAACAACATCCGCACTTAATTTGGTTACAACCAGGTCGACACACAGAGATATAATTGAACGTCATATATCTGGTTTGTATTCTTCCTGTTGATATGGTCTTCTGGCATTGAGTTTGCTACATCTGCTCCTGTGTATATTCGGGGCTATGCATTCTTCTGTATCGGTTGTCAACATTTGGTCAGGTATAAGCTACATGATGATCGTCAGTTGTCGTGCGGAAACATGTCTGGATACTGGATGTCAACGTCAGTTCCATTTTCGACATCAAATGATGTAAGCCGTAACGTCGATTTCATAAAGTGACTGTCGTTGTTGATGTTTGTTCGAAAGGATGCGGAGGTAGTCGATCTAATGGCTAACCTGGTAAGATGACGTAATCAAGAACCCTTTGTCCACGTACATTGTTTATGCTTCGTTTGTGTATGCGACCCGCGTGAGTCGTGTCAGTCATCGTTCATGTAATATATGGGTCGTCATATTTCGTAATTGATATTTCCAAAATACAGCGAGTTGCAGCAAGAGACAGAGTTTTGATGAGTTGACAGTATATATGTATATTTTGCTTATTTACATATAGTGCTCAACTTCAGCTATTGTTTGGTCTGTAAACTTCGACTTGAGGAAATCTCAAGTTGAGATGTTTTATACAAGTGGGGCCAGTACACTTAACTTCTACAAGATAAATCAGTAGGCCAGTTCAGGAATCAGAACATGGCTGCGGTAATTTAGGATTTGCTTGAAAATTACAAGACGTGATAGAAAATTAGTATTTGAACCACAATGCATAGAGAGGATGAGTCATGGAGACGGAAAATGTGTAACCGACCAACCATCCTGTTCACATCAGATAAGATATCACCTGGATCTCCATACACCTTCTGTTCAACTTTATTTTACAGGGTATCGCTGACACTGAATCGACATGCAATGTAAACAACAAAGCATTTCAGATATTACCTAAGCTTTCATCTGACTGGTTCAACCGACACAAAAGCGCACTGTGGTGATAAATCTCTGTATTTTGTACTACGAATAAAAGAGGGGTGGGAATGAAACGATTCACAAAAAGTGAAGAGTACATGTTAAATAAATACCCATTCCTAGGAGACGCAGTGTATATCAACGGGACGAGCCGGTTCTCAGATTGCATTTAAAAGGATTATGCAAAACACACGGTGAATAACACCTGTCATTTAATTTTTAAGTTGGAATTTGTTAAAACTCGATAGTAATTTCCAATAATTATTTAAACTCTATCATACAGCGGTTTTCCCTCTAGGACTCGAACGTGATGCTATGAGCTTAACGTGTGAAACACTATGAGGTGATTTAAAGTTAATCCAAATAAATGTTAACTATGCACCTGGCAGTACGTATTGAGTTTCGCTTTTAGATTTAATCTTTTATGTGCACACCAGTTTCATGTATAAATCTGTGATATAATGTAAAATTTATCTGAGGCAATGTTACCATGTGATCTCATGTGTGAACTTATGCAACGATACTAAGCTTACGTGTATTGTATTACCGTACAGATGTGACATTCCAGTCAGTCGCGGACAAAGGACACCGTACATGATACAGCCTAGATTCATCAATGTTTTCCTGATAGGATCCTGGAATGAAGCCCAACAAAGTTTGCGATAACTCGTGTTTAAATATTTAAAAATTATGTAAACACTCATGTAGCTTCCCCGATTGTTGAATTACTGTAACACAGAAGGCGTAAACACACGTACTTGTTGGTAATAGCCATTACATAACATGTCGAATAATAATAAGGTTACATGTACAAAAGCAA